AAGGTGGCAGTGCTTGCTAAAGATCAAGAAGGTGTGGAGTGTCAGGGCTTGAACCCAGGTGGCAGGTCAGATGAAGTAAGTGTGAGGAGTCCTGCAACTGAGTGGTCATCTGGTCACTAGCAGGAAAGCTGAAGCCAAAATGGATACCTTTGAGAGATTCTGAAGGGTAGGAGATGGAGCTAGGAGTTGGAGTCAGAGAGCACAGTGCAGAGGATGTGGGTGAGTGGCAGACAATGGCACTACAGAAGTCAGATGCACATGTGGCTCAAAAGAGAGAAGGGGGAGGCAGGAAAAGGAATGGAAAGGGGGAAGCCCAGCTCTCTCCATGACTCTGATCCACTGGAGGTAGCATAAGAGAGCAGCTGCAGAGGCAGTGTCAGATGAAATGATCCAGGTCTGAGAGCCAGGAGCCAGAGGGAGTGAGAAATACCAGGCCTGTGAACATCTGGGATCCACTATCAGTGGCCTGGGCACTCCAGAGACAGTCAGGGGATTGATTGAACGTGAAGTTAGAAAGGGTTGCACCAGAAGATGGGAGAGGTGGAAGCATGAGGATGGAAGGAGGAGAATGTTAGGGCAAATGTCTCCAGAGGTGAGGTGGGTACAATGTGAATTTAGGATTTAGCTGTTGGTAGAAGCAGGAAGATCAGGATGCAGAGAGGAGGAGCAGGCCTCGCTGGTGGAAGATTGAGGGTGACAGAGAAATGGAGACATATAAGGAGGAAGGTGGATATGTTGATGCAGAAGAGGGATGTGCTGACAGTGGGAGATGGACACACTTACGAAAAAATAGTAGAGCTCTACAGATATTGTTGGTGCAGTCCTGGCCCTATAAGTAGCCAGGATGCACTGCTTTCCCTTACTGGGGAGGAGGCAGATAGTGACCAAGCTGCAACACAACCTGGGTCTCACAAGGAAAAAGAGGGGCATCCTGAGAGTAGAGCAGCTTCCTGGTAGTTATGCAACTCCCTCTTTTCAGGTAGCTGGGGTATGCTGCCCTACCCCTACAAAGCAGAAAGCAGCAGGGAAGAGTTGAAGCTTATTACATGTTTGCGAAGTGGTTTGAGATATTCAAATGTGAGGAGCTGTAGAAATGCAAAACTTTTAATTAAATTGTAATTTTAAAAGGAGGAAGAGGGTTCTGTCCAGATGGCATAGCAAGGCAGGAGGTATCCTGGCCCTCTCAGCTTCAGTAACAAGCAGATTTTGTATACCTGAAGCTACATTGCTGTGTGTAAATGCATACGCTTGAATAGTCCTGTGAATGTGTCATAAGCCTTAAGAGCTGGAGTGTGTACACATGAAAGTGTACAGCAGCCACCACCATATAGAGGGCATGTACGTCTGCTCCAAGTCGAAGGACTGCTGTTTTAACACCTTCTCACATCTGAGAGGCAAACAGCTGCCTGTGAGTGACTCTAACCCAGGGGCAGGCAATTATTTTGGGCAGAGGGCCGCTTACTGAGTTTCAGCAAGCCATCGACGGCCGCATGACAAGCAGCCCAGGGCAGATTAATATTAATTTTCTAAATTTTTTAAGGGCCTCATGGGCCAGATAGAATGTCCTGGCAGGCCACATCTGGCCCCCGGGTCGCATTTTGCCCACTCCTGCTCTAAACACTGGTGTGACATGCTTCTGTACGTGCATAGAGCATCCATCCTCAGTGCAGCAGCAAAATGGCAGGAAATTCCCCTGACTTTCATCATTGGGTGCCTGTAAGTTAGGAACACAAGTTAAGTAGCTGCAGATGCAGGATCCATTCAGAGCAACAAATGTCTTTGCACCCACTTCAGCGGACTTTGGATCCACCCCTGTGTAACTGTTTGCCTGACTTGGTAGGTACACAACTAGGCATGTTTGCATTTGAAACACCTGAGACCCATAATGACAAGGATACCTTTGTACTGGGAAGCTCTGGAGAACTCAACCTTAATACAGAACAAACAGATCAAAGAAGGCCAATGTAAACAGTAAGAAGAAATGGATGGGCAAGGAAGCCCATGTGATGAGACCAGAAGTAAGAGTGACTTGACTGGAAAAAATAGTAAGAGATAGTAGGGCAGCGATAGAGTCGCCATCATTTAAAAAATGATTGCTAAAGCAGACAGACACTTGTATTTGGTAACTAGGATTAGCTGTTTGCCATCCCATAATAAACGATCTGTGCAGCTGTTTTGGCCCAGATCAAGCGTAGTCTGTGCTTACTCGGCAAGGGAAACACTGTGACCACAGAGGTGGTCTTTCTAGCCGCACCAGGGAGAGCCGCTCTCCTGGCATGGGGATAGTATCTTCCAAGGTAATGTATAGTAAACCTCTCACTTTGCTGCTGGACTGGGAAGGTCTTGCCTTTAAGTCCCCTTTATGGAAATGAGACTCCTCCCTGGCTTGACCTTGGGGCCTTATGGCTGAGGGCAAGCAAAACTTGGGGACATCCAAACCCCAAGTCTCCGGGCTTGGGCCTGCAAGTAGGATGCCTGCCAAAGATTTTGGAAACATCTGAAGCCCCAGAAGGGGGTGAAGGATGTTTGTTTGTTTGTTTGTTTGTAGTAGGGCCACTTATGGTTCTGAACTGACTCTCAGGTGACTAGAATGAGAAACACATTCCCTAAGCACATTGTGCCTTAGTACTTTCACACTACACTTTTAGTGTAGTTATCAACATTTGTTTCATAGTTTCATAGATGCTAGGGGCTGGAAGGGACCTTACAGATCATCAGGCCCAGTCCCCCTCCACTTGGGCAGGAAAGACTGTTAGAATCAAATGACCCCCAGCAAGATGGGTGTCAAGATGCTTTTTAAAGATCACCAGGGTGGGTGACTGTACCACCTCCATGGGGAGCCTATTCTAAGCCCTCGGTACTTGACTTGTAAAGTTTTTCCTTATGTCTAGCCTGAAGCGATCCTCAATCAGCTTGTGCCCATTATTTCTTGTTCTCTCCTGGCCCTGATCCTTTGATATACTTATAGGCTGCCACCAAGTCCCCACTGAGTCTTCTCTTCTCCAGGCTGAACAGTCCCAAGTCTTTCAGCCTCTCCTCATATGACCTGGTCTCAAGGTCTCTAATCATGCGCATGGCCCTCCTTTGGACTCTCTCAAACTACTCCACACCCTTCCTGAAGTGCAGTGCCCAGACCTGAACGCAGAACTCCAGCTGCAGTCTCATCAAGGCCAAGTAGAGCGGGAGGATGACATCCTTGGCCTTGCTCAAGATTCTTCGGTAGATGCATTCCAGTGTTTGATTAGCTCTGTCAGCTATGGCACTGCATTGGTGGCTCATGTTCATTGTCTATCGGGACACCCAGGTTTCGTTTAGATGTGGTGCTAGCAAGTGTAGCACTGCCGAGCCTGTAAGTGTTGTGGATTATTTCTCCCCAGATGGAACATTTTGCATTTCTCCATATTAAACAACATCAGGTTGAGGTCCGCCCACCTCGTGAGTATGTCCAGGTCAGCCTGGATTGCCAGCCTGCCTTCAAGCATGACCATGCTCCCCCATAGTTTGGTGTTGTCAGCAAACTTTGCTAGTTCGCTTTTATTACCCGAATCCAAATAATTTATCAACATGTTAAAAAGCGCTGGTCTGAGTGCTGAACCCTGAGGGACACCACTGGTCACCCTCCGCCATGATGACTCAGTTCCATCAATCAATACTCTCTGGGTCCTACCATGAAGCAGTTACGTAGCCACTAGGCCGTAAAGTAGTCAAGGCCACATTTTTCCAATTTTTTCATGAGGACTTCATGGGAGACCAGGTGAAAGGCCTTTTTGAAGTCCAGGTATATAACATCAATATAATTTCCCCCATCCAGGTGGTGAGTAACCTGATCATAGAAGGAAATGAGGTTGGTTTGGCATGACCTGCCCATAATGGAGCCATGTTGGCTATCCTTCAGAATACTGCCTTCTGCTAGCCTGTCTGTAATGGATTCTTTGATAATTTTCTCCAGGATTTTACCAGGGATTGAGGTCAAACTGACTGACCTGCAATTTCCTGGGTCCTCCTTTCTCCCTTTCTTAAAGCTAGGTACCACACTGGCCTTCTTCCAATCTTCTGGGATCTTTCCCAAGTGCCACAAATCTTCAAATAACTTTGCCATCGGGTGCATGATGACATTGGCTAGTTTTTTTAGCCCCCTTGGGTATAGTTCATCTGGTCCTGCTGGCTTGTAGATATTTAGCCTTTGTAGGTGCTCCCCTGCAAGATCTATGCCAACTATGGGGGTGTGGTCACCCCCACCATGATCATCCTGTATCCTGTCAAGCAACAGTCATCCCATTTTATTAATTAGGGGCCCTATGGTTCCCTTATTTTTTTTTCTCTGACTTCCTACATATCTAAAGAAGGACTTTTTGTTGTCCTTGATTCTGGTTGCCAATCTGTATTCAGTTTGTGCTTTTGCTAAGTACTTCTCTTTGGTAGTTATTCCTGACTTCAATCCTTCCTAGGCTTCTTTTTTTAATTTCAGGAGGTCTATGACTCCTCTGTTGAGCCAAGGGGGTCTCCCAGCCATTTTGCTGCCTTTTTTACGAATGGGAATGGACTTCCTTTGAGCTTTTAGGATTGTTTCCTTGAGGAACACCCACTCTTCTTCTACCCCTGTCCTCATTGGACCATGGTCCCACAGGGCCTCACCAACCAGTCCCCTAAGCTTATGGAAGTCGGCTTTCCCAAAATCAAGGATTTCTACTTTACTGGTCAATTTCCCTGACATACGGTGGACGGGGAAAACAATCATCTAGTGGTCGCTGTCACCCAGTTTCCCTTCGATCCTCAGGTTGCTCACTAGATCATTCCCTTTGGCCCCTTTGTGTGTGTTTTGACTTGAGCTAGAGGGAAGGACTACGAAGTAGCATTTTCTCATGTAGAGTGGCAAATGCAATCACAACACAGATCATATGAAACTATGAACTATACTCTACCAACTTTGAAACTATATTAATTCAGAAGCATATGCAGCACAGTTCCTTACAAAAGTAATGTACCCATTTTGCTCACAGGTACTTCATGAGCCACTGATTGATGAAGACCCAATCTTCATTGCCACATGCACAGAGAGAGAGCTACGCAAAAGGAAAAAGCGGAAATTCAGCTTGTGGGTCCGGCAGTGTTCGTCTACTGGCTTCATCTGTCAGGTAGGTTCTACACTGGTCTCAGGCCAGATCCTAGCAAACAGGCACATATGTTAAAAGGCACCTTTATTTGCAGCCTCCACAGTGGCCACAAGATTAAATGAGCTGTGGGGACTGAACCAGGCCTCTGACCCATGCAGATGGTAACTCCACAACAGATTTGAGTGTTGTTTATAGTGCCTTCAAGAAAGTTTGCAATGCCTTGCCAATGCAATGTCTGTTCCGTGGTTTAACAGGAGGTTTTATGTCTCTAGAGTTATAATATCCATCTGGCTGCCAGTCCCCTAAACTCATTTGAAAAAGGTCAAAACATAGCAATGAAGAACAGCCATGTATACATCACAAGTGTATCTCAGCATCTAGGTACCAGAACTCTTGTCCTTTCATGGGATCATTTATTTCCAAACATAACACTGCACATACAAGCTGGTTTAAGCTGTAGCTGTGTCCTAGAATTGAGGGGCAGCATCCAGACGGCATTATGTGAAAGACATCAGTAGATTCTTCCATGACAGCCCCATCAAAACAACATTGGGCACTAGAAGATGAAGACAGCACATGAATCTGAGCAGCAATGCCTCTTATGTGGTCTATTCATATAGCATTGAGGGCTGGATCTCTTCATTTGCAGCATCTGCAATACCGCCGTATTCTCCAGATTTTATTTTATAAATCTGACTTTTTCTAGTGCTGAAGATGTGTGCACCAACGTGTGCGCACTGCATTTTTTTGTGAGGGGAAGAGGAAGCAGACAAGGATCCAGCCTCTAGGGTGAGTGCTGGGCATTTTTTGAAATCTCCAGCCTATATCCCTCAGTCTAGATGAGGCATCAGTAACCTACAGCCCACAGGCCAGAAGGTCTGATCTGTTCTGCATTTTATTCATGACATGCTAATCCCCTGCTACTGCCTAGCTTTTAGACCCATTCTTTTAACTAACAGTCTACTAGCCCCCTGTTGCCCCTCTGTCCCTGCTCATTTTTCAGGGGAAACTTCCTTAGGGGACAAGAGAGCAGCCTTCTGCACAGAGCAGGGATGGCTGAAGTGGCAACAAGGGATTGGAAGCCTGCAGATGTGGCTGGGTGGAAAAGACTGGCCCACTGTTAGAAAAGGTTGCTGACCCCCCAGGGTTGAATCCAAAGGGATACTGTGGCGTAGTCACTCTCTTCCCATGCTGTGGAGTAGCATCTGGGAACTTTTTTTAAGTCCCCAAATCAGGTAAGAATTCCATGTTCCCCCATCCTTGTTACGTTCTCTTCCACTTTTTTCTCAGCAGCCCCTCTCTTCTCATTTTCTCTTCTCCCACCCACTGCTGAAGCTGTCCCTAGATGCAGTGGTGGTGAGGGATGGGTTCCTTCTTCCTGCCCAATCCCCTCAGTTGTTCCCTTCCAGCCTGGGAGCAGGCACAGGGAGGAGGATCCTGCCTGTTGTCACCACTGTTGCTGTCCTCAGCTGAGCCTAGCTCTACTTGAGCTGGGCTGCACAGTGAGGGGGAGGGCAGGAGTGACTCTGGAGCTCCTCCTGCTCCCAGGGCTGCACAGGGGAGCTGGGCAGAAGTGGATGGGGGAGGGGAAGTGCTGTTGAGCATGGAGGGGGAGCTGAGAATGAGGGTGGTAGGAGCTTATTATGTGATTCGGGGACTTAAAGTCTGCAGCTGCTTCTCCCTTGGTATGGTCCTCTCATCGTGGTGGGGGTGGGAGGTGGAATGGGGCTGCTGCCTCTCCTGTAGTGCTGCTGGTTGCTGTTCCAGTGCCCCCTTCATAAAATCCTGGATCCTCCCATGCCGATCCCTGCTCTACATTACTTGAGTAGCTCGCTACAAAAGCATTTTTTTCTTTTAGTTAGCTAAAAAGGAGGAATTTTTGTTTTATATGATTCAAGGAGATGGAAGAAACGTAGTCATACTTCTAATGCACAGACTTTATAGCACCAGCTTTCTCTGTCATAGGTAGGTTTATGTTGTGTCTCTTGAAAGTTTCCATGCTCAAGATATTTGGAAGGTTGCTGGAAATAGAGCATTGTATTTGGTCCCTAAGGGGAACTCTGCCTGTCCTACATGCTGCTTCCTACTGAAGGATAATAGCTATAGCAAAAATGAAGTTTACAAAGCTATCCAGAGGGAAACATTGCAGACATGCCAGGGATTTCAGATAGTGAGCTGTAATTGGTTTGAATACCCTACCCCTTCTCCATTAATGTATTATTTTAAACGGACAAAGTCAACAGGAGTGAAGGACGTACCCCCATACTTCACAGGATTGCACCATAAGGAAATTGACTGTCATGCTTGACTTGCATCCAGATTACAAGAACTTTAACCGTTTTGCTTTCCGTGATTTGATTCATTGCCATTTTCATGCAGAAATGATCAGATGAGAGGGCTGTTAGAAAGGAGTAGCCATGAACATTCAGGAACACTAATATTCATCTCAAATGGGGGGTGAGGGGGTATCTTTTTTAGAAAAACAGTAGGCTTTTATTCAACGTTTTCATTTACCCCTTCAGCACATTCACAAAGGCCTTGTAAAAGCCAAAACATTTGTTTGGTGACTGCCTGCTGTTCTGTGAAAGAGTAAAACAGTAATTTATTTAATGTATCAAAAAGAGGCTTTCACTGAGCTTCAAATAAAGAGATAATTGATCTAAATAAGAGTATTCCCCCTCTTCACCCATCTCCACACACACCCTGTAAAACTGCCAGGATCAAAACAAAACAAAAGCCTGTTGCTTGATAATTAACGGGTGATCATACATCCTCCTGTGTACACTCTAAAAAGCAGCTTACACATGTTAGTGAATGTAGAATGAAATCTAGTAAAACCAAGAGACTAAATCCCTTCCTCACCCCAATACAGTAATTTCTGCAGGAACTTTGGCCATTTAATTTAGGGCAGAATTTAGTACTAAACATATTTTAGTAATGTGAATGTAATTCAGCTTGCAGAAGCCTAACAAAAGAATTGGTTAGCCTAGGAAGGTTTGCAGTCATTTTCTGTCAGCTTTCTCAAATCAGTTTGAAGCTTTTTCATGGAATAATTTTTGTGAATAATTCTTGGCCTGTGGCTCAATATTATTGCTAATATTGAATATTGAAAATTTGAGCTGTTTGATTCTCCCCTGAATGGAAGAGCAGGCCTTTGAATTGGATTTTGGTGAAAATACCTGTATTCAGTATTTACTTGCTACAAATACTCCGCTTTTTATAGCTTGATGTTTGGACAACAGCCTTGCCACCAAATTGATTCATGGAGTGTACTTGTGGCTCACAACACGTTCCTATACGTTACAGTACTGGCTCAGCACTATATCTATCGTATGCTAGAATAACTCAATTCTGCCATTGGCAATTAAGTCCATGCTTGGCAACAAACTTCCACTTTGAATCACAGGTCTGCCTCAATTTCCTCAGCAAAACCCCAGTTTTTAGCTATTGTGACTTTCTTCCCTCCGCTCCTCTCTCTCTCATAGACCTGTGGGGTTTTGAATCAAGGAAGGGTGAACTTCTTTTGTATTTAAATAAATAGATTTCTACAGTGGCCCAGAACTCAAAAAAGGTTTAGTTTAAGGCTTATAAAAATTGATTGCCTTCCCTTACTGTATTTATTTTTCATCTTGTATGTTTAAAAAAATCTAAAACTGCTTTCATAAGTTCTACTGGGCAAAAGGCATACTCTTTGCAAACATTCAGTGGCCATACACAGTTGCTGCAAGCGTGCTATCAATCTGATTTCTTTTTGTATCAGTAAAAGTCATGTTTTGATAGAGAAGGAGAGTGTGTGCTTGGTTAAGTTCTCTTGTCACTTTTAAGCATCTCACTTTTTAAAAATCTAGTCCCTCCATTTGAATGTCATTATTATAATAAAGTAACATTTGCAGCCATCTCCAATGTTGTGGCTATTTCCATGTTGCACACCAAACTTGCTTTATAGCGATGTAAACCATCCAGTGCAGATCTTTCTACTCCAAAAGTAAAGTTCTACCACCATGAGTAAAAGAAGGAAACCTAAGCGATACTTAACACAGATAAGTCATATGGGGTGGATCTAGTACTGAACACTGGTGCATATACATACTAGCTCAGTGATTCTCAACCAGGGTGCCATAGCACCATAGGGTGCCTTGAGATCCTTTCAAGTGTGCTGCAACGTGCTACAAATTGTTGGTACTGTTATGTGTGCAAGCATGATTCATAAGATAAACCCAAAGAGATCAAATAGGAATTCAGCGTTAAAAAACATGTCGACCTGTTGTGTTCCAAGTTCTTTGCAACTGAAGAATTGGTGTATTATTTTTCTGTAGTCAGAAAAACAAGCGAAAGCTAAAAACTGGCTTTCTTCAAGGACATTTTAAATCTAACAAAGGGTGCCTTGAGTCTAAAAAGGTTGAGAAACACTGCACTAGCTAACCCCTCTCAGCATTGACTCTCTTGCTGCTGTTGAGGATAATTAACATTTGCAAAGTGCTTGGAGAACTTCTGGTAGAAAGCACTAAGGAAGTGTGAATGATTAGCAGCACTATTATAGTTTCCAATTATTCCAACTATTATACTGCAGAATGGATTTGTCTCCCTTTAGGAATGCTAGACTTGTAGCAGACAAGGTTCTTTGCATAAATCTGATCTCTTTTATTATTGGACCAACTAAATAAACTTGTAGTAAGAGCTCCAAGGCTGACTTTTGAGCTGGGTTCTATTATCTGACCTACAAGTTGAGCCAGTGAGCTGCCTCCCCACTACATTTTCCTCTATATTTACTGCCACAGATTTGTTTTTCAAACCAAGACTGTAATATCTTAATTGCAGTTTACCCAACCAGTAATTTAGAAGGGTTTTCTTCTTTAACGTAGGGATTTTGCTGTGTAAGTCTGGCTCTTTAAATCAAAATTCCACATGTTTCTTTGATTTCCCTCTCCCTTGATTCCTCTCCCTCTCAAAATGTCCTGGGGTATCTTGCTTAAAACATCTGCACAAGTTTAAACAAGTAATAGGTCTCTCTAGCAATCCTG